CCCACTCGCTCCCTTCCCTCCCCTTCCCTTCCTCCCCCCTCCCCCCTGGATGCCGGCGCGGTCCAGGACCGAGAACAGCCTCCCGAGTCCCGTTGTCGGGCTCTGGGGCTCACGGAAGAACGTGTGCGCCGCGAGCCGACGTCGTTACGCCGTCGCCCAGTCTGTTCTGTGGGGTCACGAACCCGTTGTGGGGAACGCTTGTCATGATTATCACCCAGCTGCCTGCGGCAAGGGAAAGGGAGGTGTCACCGAACTGGGCCCCCAGCCCACGGTCTACAACAACGGCGGCTCCCGCTTCGTACGTCTGCACAATTCATTCCCAAATCGCGCTCTCGCGCGGGACTTCTTCACGCTTTTTACAGGGATCGCGCTCTCGCGTTGAACTTCCTCGCAGTCAAATCAGACGCCGCGCCATTGACATTCAGGAATCACGCTCTCTTTGTGGATTTTCTTGCGATTAATTTGGGGATCGCGCTATCGTTCGAGACTTCCTTGCGATTCATGCAGAACGCACGCTTCAGCAATCCGCCTGCCCCTTGTCCCCTCCTTCCGTCCGTCTTCTCTTCCCCTGGTTTAGGGGCTGCACGAAATACACGTTGCAGGTAAGACAGATGTACGACTAAGGGGGTACGGTTGAAGACGAACAGGGCGTGTATCGAGGGTTCGGATCTATGTGCTGAATGGCACGCGGGATGATGATGATGCTGATGATGCTGATGATGGTGATGCTGATGCTGATGCTGATGATGACGATGCTGATGATGCTGATGCTGCTGCTGATGATGATGCTGACGCTGATGCTGCTGCTGATGATGATGATGATGATGATGATGATGATGATGATGGTGATGGTGATGGTGATGGTGATGGTGATGATGACGATGACGATGACGATGACGATGACGATGACGATGACGATGATGATGATGATGATGATGATGATGATGATGATGATGATGATGGTGATGATGATGATGATGATGATGATGATGGTGGTGGTGGTGGTGATGATGCTGCTGCTGATGATGCTGCTGCTTCTGCTGCTGCTGCTGATGATGATGACGATGATGCTGCTGCTGATGACGATGACGATGACGATGACGATGATGATGATGATGATGATGATGATGATGATGATGATGATGATGATGATGATGATGATGATGATGATGATGATGATGATGATGAGCAGGAGTAGGATGATGAGGAGGAGGATGAGGAGGAGGAGGAGAAGGAGGAGCAGGAGGAGGAGAAGGAGGAGGAGGAGAAGGAAGAGGATACGGCACTAGCTGGCGGATGCCGCGCTCCAAGAGGAGAAGGAAGAGGAGGAGGAGGAGGAGGAGGAGGAGGAGGAGGAGGAGGAGGAGGAGGAGGTCCAGTGTAAAGCCAAGAGTCATCAACAATGTTCGAATCAACCCTCCCTCCAAGCTCCCTCTTCATAGGCCCCTACAACGGTTCATTTCCACGGAGGGAACTGCCTCGTTGGAAGACAACCGTTTGAAGACCCTGAAGCTTGCCAAAACATTGTTCTCGGGTTTCCAACCCCACGGATCAACCTGACTGTTGCGTCTTGACGATCCTGAATCGTGCCAGAACGCCATTCTTGGGACTTCAACACCGCGAATCAATGTAACACATGGATAATCCAGAATCCCGAATCCTGAATTTTTCCAGAAAGCCATTTCTGGTACGCTGATCATGGGAATCCGTGAAATTCTTGCAACTGTTAAAAACGAATGCGGTCGGCGCTAAGGCGAGAGCTAGGGTTTGAAAAAGAGCCGCCCTCAATCCGTGAAGCTCTTGCGAATTTCTAAAGCGAATGTACGCGGCGCTAGGGCGAGAGCCACATTTTGGAAACGGGTCGCCCTCAATCCGTGAAACTAGTTTGGAAATTGTAAAGACGGATGTGCGCGGCGCTACGGCGAGAGCCACATTTTGAAAACGACCCGCCCTCCATTCCTGAAACTGTTGCCAATTTTAGCTTCAGGGTCATCAGTGGTGAGCATATCTCAGGCGAAACACCCGGCCCGCCCTAAAACTCGCCTCGGGGTGCGACAGGGAGAAGGTATTTACAAGGAAAAGGAATGGAGGAGATGGAGGGGTGAGGGGTGGGGGTTGAGTGTAGGTGGCTTGGAGAGGGGTCCACAAGTAGATAGAGCATCGTCAGATCGTGAAGGAGTAGGAGCAGGTCCCCCTCATTCGCTCTCCCTCTCCATTTCCCTCCTCAAGTCGTTCGCCGTTCTCTGCCGCTCCCGCTCCCGCTTCCGCTCTTCAGGAGTCTCCACCCCCATCCGGTCTCTATCGCCACCGCTCACCTCCTCTCCCTATGTTTTGACTCTTGCCCCCTTTTTTCTCCCTCTCGGACTCCCTGCACTTTCCCTTCTTCCCATGCCCCTGGCCTCTTAGCCCCTCCCTTCACCTCCTCCCCCCCCTTGAACCGAAGCCGTTTAGGCGTGGGTGAGGAGTTCCCCCTAGCTTTGGCTTTGAACTTTGCAATGGCGGCCGCCTCTAGCATATGTTTCGATGACCTGGAGATCTTTGGCTGGCAGCAGTACGCTGACGCCGCCTCACTGGCAAGCCGCTCCTCTCTGTCTTTTGCATCGTGCGCGCTCTTGCATCGCCGGACAACCTTGCATCGTGCACACTCCTGCTTCAATACAAGCATATTGCTCGTCCTCTAGCCACTCGCCGCCTCTGCACGTAACCTCGCGGCGCGCCTGGACAGCGGGCCTTCGACGGCACCGCGGTGATCGGGTCTTGGTCCTTCGGTGCCTCGCTTCGCCCGCTCCTCCTCGGCCTCATCGGCCACTCTCCCGCTGCAGCCCCCGCTCACTTCAAGGACACCCCATCATCCACGCCTCGGCCCATCCTCAGCAGACTGCTCTTGCTGCCAAGCCCTACAGGCTGCTGCGACTTGGACACCCACGGGCCGTTTGCAGGCCTTGCCTCCGCCTCCGCCTCCGCCTCCCTGAGCACGATCACGACGTGGCAGAGGGGCGGCCGGCGGACCTGCAGAAGCCTCCTGGCTGGGAGGGGAGGACGACGATCGCGTGGGCGAGGGAGGGGCGCCTCCTGGAGGCCTCTGGAGGCTCGGAGGACGCGGGGGGTGGCCGAAGGGGGACCGAGGGCACCAGGACGGTGAGGACGCACCCTCACCTGGCACCCTCATCAGGTGCGACGGCTGTGGCCGCGCTCCTCTTCCTCCTCCCCCTCCTCCCCCTCCTCCTCCTCCCCCTCCTCCTCCTCGTCCTCCTCGTCCCCCTTTTTCTCCCCTTCCTCCTCCTCCTGCTCCTCCTCCTCCTCCTCCTCCTCCTCCCCCTCCTCCTCCTCCCCTCCTCCTCCTCCTCCTCCTCCTCCTCCTCCTCCTCCTCCCCCTCCTCCTCCTCCTCCTCCTCCTCCTCCTCCTCCGTCCCTCCTCCCCCTGCCCCGCCACGCTGTGCCCCCTCCACCAGGCAACGGTGCGGTGCCTGTCGTCCGTGCACTCGCTCCGCGCCCGGCCTCACCTGGTGGCGCGCCTGGTGGACTGCACCAGGACCGGTGCCCTCACGGGCCGGGCATCCCTGGGCCGCGACCACGCGGATGCGGTGCCGTTTTTTTTTCGCGGATGCCCCGCGCAGAACGTATATGTTTGACCGCGTACAGTGGAGACCCATACCAAGAAACATCTTGCTTGCCTCCAGGGTGCCGTGGGTTTTTTGGGTTTCCTTGGTTTTTCTATTGAAAGCGTGGGAGCGCCATCCCCGCTCACAGACCTCCGGCGTAGCTGTTTCTTTCGATCCCCGCGTTGTTCCTCCGTTTCGACCTCCAGGGGCCATCGGCAAACGATCCGGGATTCAAAGCGGGCCCAGCGGAAGGGGTCGAGAGGTCGGGGGTCTACATGTTGAGCAGACCAATCCGCTGGAGGTCTGGGTTCGGATTCTGGATGGTCCGTGGGGCAAAGTGGCGCAAGCAGTGTAAGGGGCGTGCGAAAACGGGAACACGGAGATGCGCAGCTCAGAGTTCTCAGCCCGATAAGAGTAGATCGGGAAGGGGAAGGACGGACTCATCTATTACCGAGAGCCTCATACAGATGGTCCCTCGTTGAGCTGTTGTCAGGTCGCCTGCTTCTGGCAGGTCCATGTCTGCAGTCGGTGTCGCATCCTGTTAGCCCAACTATGGGTCAGGCTTGCTCACGCGACAGGCAACGAGCGCATTGTCAGCGTTGGCTGGGAGGTGTCCCAAAACCCGCACTGAACGCATACTGGATCGGTTTGCCTTCTGACTACCATGGAAGAACAGTTGATTGTGAGCTATACGCTTGCACCGATCTTGCCCAGTCCAATCCCACGCTCAGGATGGGTGTGTATGCCTTCTTGCCCAAGCCAGGGCAGTGTAAACACTGGTTCCTGGGCCCAGGATGGGCCTGGCAAGGATCGGTGTAGCTGTGTAGGCGAATCGTGGGCGATCCTCCTGATGAGCAAGATAGCCTTAGGCCACTCTAGTCTACCAGTTTCGAGATGACCAGCCGAATCCTTCTTGCGTGTGCCCGCCTTGTCCAGCGGTGCCCCTCCCGCCCCAGAGCATCTGTAAGGCTCTATGCATCTTGAGTTGTCTCCGCCTGACAGCATCCGATTGTCGCTTGAGACTGGTAGCGTGCATGGAGCCCGGGCTGGGCCAGACGCTGTTTTACCTGGTCTAAAAACACTCTCTCTGCAGATGGCCAAACATTTTCTATCTCTGCGAGTTTGGTTCGCCCCCTTCCTCATGCCCCTGTGGCCGTCGTGGAGCGTCGGAAGCCGAAAAGGCGAGAACGCCAAAATTTTGAAAACAAAACACATGAAAAGTAAAGATTTGGGCCTCTTGGGGCCCTCGTGGGAGGTCTCGTCGAAGCCTATTGGAGCGTCTTGGAGGCGCCTCTTGGGGCCTCTTTGGGGGCCTCTTTTGGGGCTCATGGGGGATTCGTGGGGGCCTCGTCGAGCCTCTGGAGGCCTCTTAGGCCATCCCAGGAGCCTCCTCCTTCCCCCAAACACTGCGCTGACACAGCAACACCGCTACGAGTTTGCTTGCGGGCCAGGCCGCCCTCGGCGCTGCCAGTCTCCTGCCGACGGGTTGGGGGCGGCAGTTCCGGTTCAGTGGCCGCAGTGATCGCCAGCACTTCGTCTGTTCAGGAGGGGAAAGACACACAGACACAATGAATTGTCGATCCCCAGGAAAATACGGGAAGATATGGGAAGTGGAGGGGAAGAGAAAAACCCAGAACATATGGGAAGAGAAAACCCAGAACATATATGGGTTATTTGTGCGTATGTATGAGTGTGTCCCAGGGCCCCTTCATTTGTGCCTATGCCCCGCTGATCCGCAAGACCGGGCCTGGGGTCGCTCAATCGATACACCCCGTCTCCGACGCGGGCCAGCGCCGACTCGTTCCAGATGCGGGAGCAGCGCCGCAGTGTGCCAGGCTTGCCTGGTGCACTCCAGCCTCACGCTCTCCCGGAACGCTCCGGTGATCGCTTCACTCCTTCCATCCTTCTCGCCTGTCTAAGGGCAGAACTGATGTGAGAATCGATTTTTGCAGCGAAGACCCGTGCCCGAACCGAAGGAGGCGGCTCAATACGTTTCTTTCGCTCACCGCCTTCAAACACTTGCTTATGTTCAGTTTTACCAAGTATAAGAAAGCCAGAAGCCACCGACTCGTGACTGATGCAGCAATTGACGCGACCGCTATGGCGATTCCTTTGTTTGAGTACACCCCGTCCTGTTCTCCACTTTAATTGTTCTTTCAGTGATTGCTTGTTATTGTAGGTCATGTTCGCCTGCGGGCTCAAGCGAACGCCCTGTCCAAAGTGGTCGTGCCAATAATGTTGGGTAGAGGAGTTGCCGCTCCCGCTGACCTCCGTGCTGCTTGGATTTCGAACCGAGCGGGATCTTTCGCCTGTAGATGGGCACGTGGATGAGGGAGCATGTATCTTTCACCTCGGCAGCTTCTTGACCGTTGGCTCGAGTACCCAACGGTCGTTGAAAGTAGGTCTTTTCAGAGTCCCAGATTCCAATCTACTTTAAGCGCCTTCCTACTTCAATGATCAAGAGGGTTCACCTTCTCCGTCCTCCTTGAGGGGCGGACGGAACCCAACCTACTTCCAACGCCTTCCAACTTCAGGTTTCTACCTATTTCTTCCGACCGGTGGGTACTCGTTTATGCTTGTGTTGTTCTTCGTGGGCATCGTCGGATTCTGTAGCTGAGTACTTGCCAGCGGGTCGAACAGGCCGACCCGTGCGCACTTTATGGAGCCTCTGGAACCCCCTCCCCCGCGCGTGGTGCAGTCCGCCCTGCTGTGCCACAGGGGATTGCTTGCGCAAGTCCGCGCACCGTGCGTGTCCTGCTCGGACGGTGTTTCTACCCAGCACGGGCAGATCGATCCCCCCCAGGTTCACAGTGGGGTGGGCAGTGACGTGTTCGCGCCGTTCGGTGCTCCGATTTTCGCGACGATTCGACTTCGATGGTTGCTGAGCGCCATCTTGTTCAGGTGGCCGTGACAGGGATGAGTCACGCGACCATGCGCTTCGCTCAAAGCCGCTTATCGATTTGAACATTTCTTTTGGTTCTGCTCTTTCAGTATCCGCGAAAATCCGAATCAGTTCAGGCAGCCGAACTGCCGCTGTGCTCAAACATGGCCGACCTCGCGAACGCCGTGGGCGGGGCTGTTTGAACGATGCGCAATCTCCTTAACGTAACACTGCTTCGCGCTGCGATGCGGCATAGTATTCTGCCGTACGTAAGGCGCCGACAGGTCCAACGCAGGTTGTATTATTGCATTTGCCCGGAGAAGGAATTTCGCAGACGACTGGCTATACTAGACTTAGTGATGCGACTTCGAAGATGAAGCTCGACATCACAGGGTGTGTCTCGCTTTTACGGGGTCAGTGCTAGATGCAAGCTGGCTCACCGTTTGCCTATGGAGAGTGATCCATCATCTCAGCATGTTTTGAGTCTGATTTTTGGGGTACATCCAAGCGGTGTACTCCGTAGGACCTATCATCGTGATTGTAGCGATCTTGCCAACACTACACGTCGGCCACTACCCTTCCAGTAGAAACCTCCTCGTCGTGAGCTCGCAGCAAGAACTCGCCGAGAGCTTTCAGGGCGCACAGGGATCGCCCAGGCTCTTGGAAATCGTGCTTCCAATTTCAGATCCCAGCCGCAATCTTCTCAAAGTTGGTCTTTGGGCCACTCTTGGACGCTGTTGTGGCTGATCGCTCGAACCGTGTTAGGCTGCCGCGAGAAGGGTCCATGCTTCGAGTCTGCACCGAGCGGCCGCGCCTCAGGAGCAAGTGCACGAAGAGCGCGAAGGCGGCCTTGCGTGCACTCGCCTGGGTGGCGTCGAACGAGCCGCCCCATCGACAGACGCAAGAAGGGTCGGCCGGCTGTGACAAAGGATGGGCGGCGGGAGGATGATCGAGGAGGAGGATGATCGAGGAGGAGGAGGAGGAGGAGGAGGAGGAGGAGGAGGAGGGCAGGAGCAGGAGCAGGAGGAGAAGAAGAGGAGGAGGAGGAGGAGGACGAGGAGGAGGAGGACGAGGAGGAGGAGGAGGTGGAGGAGGAGGAGGATGAGGAGAAAGGGGGAGGGGAAGAGGAGGAGGGCAGGAGCAGGAGCAGGAGGACGGAGGACGGATGATGATGATGATGATGATGATGATGATGATGATGATGATGATGATGATGATGATGATGATGATGATGATGATGATGATGATGATGATGATGATGATGATGATGATGATGATGATGATGATGATGATGATGATGATGAATTGATGATGATGATGATGATGATGATGATGATGATGATGATGATGATGATGATGATGATGATGATGATGATGATGATGATGATGATGATGATGATGATGATGATGATGCTGATGATGATGATGATGATGATGATGATGATGATGATGATGATGATGATGATGATGATGATGATGATGATTGATGATGCTGATGATGCTGATGATGATGATGATGATGCTGATGATGATGATGATGATGATGATGATTGATGATGCTGATGATGATGATGATGATGATGATGATGATGATGATGATGATGATGATGATGATGATGATGATGATGATGGATGGAGATAGGAGGAGGAGGAGGAGGAGGAGGAGAGAGGATGGAGGAGGAGGGAGGAGGGAGGAGGAGGAGGAGGGGGAGGAGGGAGGAGGGAGGAGGGAGGAGGAGGAGGGAGGAAGGAGGAGGGGAGGAGGAGGGAGGAGGGAGGAGGGAGGAGGGAGGAGGGAGGAGGGAGGAGGGAGGAGGAGGAGGAGGAGGGAGGGGGAGGAGGGAGGAGGGAGGAGGGAGGAGGGAGGAGGGGAGGGAGGGAGGAAGGGGAGGAAGGAAGGAAGGAAGGAAGGAAGGAAGGATGGAAGGAAGGAGGAGGAGGAGGAGGAGGAGGAGGAGGAGGAGGACGAGGAGGACGAGGAGGACGAGGAGGACGAGGGGGATGAGGAGGAGGAGGAGGGGACGAGGACGAGGACGAGGACGAGGACGAGGACGAGGACGAGGACGAAGAAGAAGAAGACGAATACCAATACGAAAAAGACGAATAATATGAAGACCCAGAACATGACCAACAATACGAATAATAATATAAAGAGCAAGAAGAAGAACCGTACTAATGATAATGATAATATTAATAATAAGAATGATCATACTAATTTTACGAATAACAAGAATTAATACTGCGAGTAATAAGAATAATAATACTAATACTGAGAATAATAATAATACTAAGAATACTACTAAGAAGAATAATACTATTATTACTAAAAGTAATAATACTAGTACTAATAATAAGAGTAACAATAATCAGAATAATAAGAAGAATAATACGGCGAATGAGCATAATCTTACTAATAATAGGAAGAAGAAAACTAAAAATAAGAATAATAATAATAATCATAACAATGATAAGAAGAAACATAAGAAACATAATAATAAGAAGAGTAATAATAAGAAGAACAATAAGAAGAAGACGAGGAGGAGGAGGATCGAGGATCGAGGAGGATCGAGGGGCGCCGATGATCTCTGCCTTCGGCGGGGCTCCAGGGCGAATAACGCGTCATGCCCGCCCCTGGGCGATTTTCGCCCTGACGTCGTCGCCGCCGAGCGCAGGAGCGTGGTCGGCGCGAGGGGCGCGGCCTCGCGAGAGAGCTCGGCGGCGAGGCGCGCAGGCGGAGGCCTTCGGGGTGTGCAGGTCTCTGGCTTCCGGGTGCTCCTCGGCGTCAGGAAGCGTCTGGTGATGAATGTCGGCGGCGAGCGGGGGGGGGGGAGTGAGAAGGAGAAGGCTCTCTCAGAAGGCGGCGGGACTTCTCAGAGGCCCTCGCGCCTTCTGAGAAGCTTTCTTTGCCTTCGGGGAATGGCTCAGAAGGCTTCCCAGAAGACCGGGGGACTTCCGAGCCTTCTGACAAGGCTCGCCCCTTCTCTTCTCATTTTCCCCCCCTCGCTCGCCGCCGACCCCTGGGCCGGAGCCGACTCCGCCTCGCTTTTGGCGCCGATCTAGCGTCGACTCGCAAGGGTCAGCACGACGGCGTGGGAGGCTCCCACGAGTTGCCACCGCACGCGGGGGCGGGGAGAGGGGGCTTCCAAGAGGGCCTTGGGGGAGGCCAGCACGGACCGGGTACCCGTGGCTTCTTCGCGGTGCTCGGGCTCCTAGTGTTATGTCGGGCGTGTCCCCCTACAGGGGGACCTTCGACGAAAAAAAAAAAATACTCCAAAAATGCCCCAAAAAGGCAAAAAAATACCCGAAAAATAGTCCCCAGACTATTTTCGGACTATTTTTTGAGTATCTTTAGGGTATCTTTTGTTTTTCGTCGAGAATCCCCCTGTAGGGGGACACGCCCGACTGAATCCTAGTGGTCCCTGGGCTCCCCGGGCCGCTGCCAGCTCCGGGACACTCCGCGGCGGCGGCGGTGGGTACGGCCTCTTGGTGCAGCCCGCCCGTGTCGCTCCAGCGGCCGCCGGCGGTGGCGCCGGGGGGGCAGCGCCGAAGGCAGGCAGACGCGGTGATGCTGGTGATGATGCTGCAGGCCAGCCAAAACCGGGGGAGCCGTGGTCCTTGCCCCCCTGGGGGACCCCTCGATTTCGGAACCCCTCTCGGGAGATCATCGATGCGATGGGTTCCCCTCGGGGGGTAAGGACCACAGCTCCCCCAGTTATGGCTGGTCGGTGCTGATGCTACTGATGATGATGATGCTGCTGCTGCTGATGATGATGATGGCGATGGCGATGGCGATGCCGATGGCGATGTGGTTGATGATGATGGTGATGATGATGATTCGGACGACGACGACGATGACGACAACGACGACGACGACGACGACGACGACGACGACGACGACGACGACGACGGCGACGGCGACGATGATGATGATGATGATGATGATGATGATGATGATGATGATGATGATGATGATGATGATGATGATGATGGTGGGTGGTTGAAGGTTGCGTCAGGCAGAGGTTGCACTCGTAGAGCTTGTCTTCTTGGCTGCGCTCGCCTTCAACGCGTTCGTGGTGCTCCTCTGCCTGGTGGGTTTGTTCGCAAGATGCATTTGATCAGACTTTGGTCTGTGCCCCAAATTCGGAATTCCTCCCTCCCGCCCTCTCCTCCCTCTCCCTTCCTTCTTCGTGCACACCCCTTTCCTTCAGTTTTGTCCTTCTCCTTAACCGGCTCCTCTTATCTCCCTCGTCTATCCTTCTCCTTCTCCCCGCACCCCTCCGTGTCTCTTCTCCGCCAAGCCCAGCTCCTTCCCCTCCCCTTCGTACTTCTTTTTGGCCCTGCGCCCTGTGATTCGAAGCCTCGGCATGGATTTGCCAGTTTCGAGCAGGCTGCCTGTCTGTCTGTCTGCCTGGCTACCTCTATAGGATAGTTTGCTAGTCGACCAAACAAAACAGCATCGTTTCGGTATTGTGCAAGCCTCCTCTCTCTCTCTCTCTTCCTCTATCTTTATCCTTCCCTCCGTCTATCGTCCTCTCTCCCTCTCTCCCTCTCTCCTCCTTCCCCCCTCTCGCTCTCTCCCTGTGCCCCCACCGTCTCCATCCCTCTCTCCGTTTCCCTCCATTCCCTGGCTAGGGGGGGGAGGTGGGAGGACACGGACGGGGAAGCGGAGGGGCCCGGCGCGAGCCTGCGCGCGACGCGGCAGAGAAGCGCCGCTGGCCAGGTCGCCTCCCAGCCTGGCGTCGAAGCACGGCGGGGAGGGGCGCACCACCCCCGCCGCGCCTGCACCCCGGGGTCGGGAGGAGCCAAGGGGCGGTGCACGGGGGGAGGGAGGGAGGGAGGGAGGGAGCCTCCTCCCCCCCCCCCCCTCCTTTCCCTCCTCCCCTCCACGAGAGAGCTCCTTCTCCCTCCCTCCTCCCCTGGCCCCTCCGGGGCCTCGTCGGTCCCCCCTCGTCCCTGCGCGCTTGCCCGGGGGCTGGCGCTCCGACCCTGGAGCCCACGCCCAGGAGACGAAGCCGTGGCGCGCGTGATGGAACGACGAGTGAAGCATACCTCCTCCTCCTCCTCCTCCTCCTCCTCCTCCTCCTCCTCCTCCTCCTCCTCCTCCTCCTCCTCCTCCAGGGGGCCCCCTCGGTGGTGCCGTCCCGGGGGCCTCCTGGGGGCCTCTCGTGGGAGCCGCCTGGGGCCCCTCGTTAGGGGAACGAAGAATGGCATAAACATAAAAACTCGGAGGTCCGCGCGGATTCCTCGGATCCGCGCTGGTTCCCCCTGGCGGCGCCTCTCGCGCCGCTCCGAGGAGTCCGCGCGGACACCTCCGAGCTTCCGTGCTTCTGTGGCTCTTCGTCTGCGTTCCCCGGCAGGCGGCCCGGCAGGCGAGCGCGGGCGGGGCGTGCCGGGGGCGTGGCAAAGAGGGGGGGGGATGACGAGGGGGGGTGGATATCATGGCGGGGGCCATGCTAGTTCCCCCAGATTTCATGGCGCCTCCTCAGAATGTCATGGCGTCCCCGGCCCCCCCCGCTGGGCCGCGCACGTGCCGCCGGTCATGATCTGCACCCCCCCCCCCCTTGGACCCCCCCCCCTCTCGGCCGCCCCCGAGCGTGCGTCAGAGCACCCCGGGCCCCCGGGGGGTCGCCCTCTGCGGTGGGGGTCGGCGCCGGCGCCCCGGGCCCCAGGGGTGGGGGGCGGGCGCCGGCACCCCTAAGCCCTGGGGGGGTCGCCCGTGCCCCCAGTACAGTCGGGGCCCTGAAGAGGGGACCCTTTTCGTCGGAGAGGGGCTCCGTGTTCCTTGATTGCTTCACAGTTTGCCTCGGGTTTTCCGTTGGTTCTCGAGGGGAAGTCGAAGTTCAACTTGCGGATAGAAGGGGCCTCGTTCCTCATTTAGGGTTCCTTAGGTCAAGGGCCCGACTGTAGGGGAACGAAGAATGGCGTAAACATGAAAACTCGGAGGTCCGCGCGGATTTCTCGGATCGGCACTGGACCCCCCCTCCCTGGCGCGCGGAGCGCGCCAGTGGCGGCGCTGGAGGCGCCGCCAGGGGGATCCAGCGCCGATCGGAGAAATCCGCGCGGACCTCAGAGTTTGTATGTTTATGTCATTCTTCGTTCCCCTACCCAGGCCGAGGCCGAGAGAGAGGAGAGAGAGAGCTGGACTTCAGTGGGGCATGTCCCTCTGCAGGAGGAGTACTCGAACATGGTCAAAGCATAGTCTGGGGACGATTTTTGGATCGCTTTGTGACTACTGCCGATGATTTTTGACTATTTTCCGCTCTTCTTCCACACTCCGCCTGCATGAGGACACGCCTGATCTAAAGCTAGAGAGAGAGAAAGAGAGAGAGAGAGAGAGAGAGAAAAAAAAAAGAGAGGCAGAACCGTAGCCGATTTGGCCCAAATCCGACGCCCGTGTCGCGGGGCTTCGAGCTGAGGTTCCCGCCGCTGTGCGACAGACATCGAGGGGCGACCGACGCAGTTTACACCCCTGGCGGGGGCGAGCTTTGGACCAGGCAAGTGAGGGGTCCGCGCTCGCATCATGTCGGGTAGCACGGATGTTCTTGCGGGTGCGAAGAAGCCTTCTTCTGGGGATGCGTCAAGTGTCACCGGAAGTGCAACTGGGCGTCTCGGATCAAGTGCGCATGTGGGTGTGCAGCGCCGCCCGAAATCGTCAAAACAGCGAAGGCTTCGCACGATAATCTTGTTTCAGGAGACGGTGGTCAGACAGAACGTGGACCTCAAGGGGGGTGGGAAAATAGCAGCCCACTCGAATCCACGCTCATGACCATGCTTAAGAGGTTCGAGGGTCTCGAGTCCAAGCTGGCCTCGACTCCGCCGTGGGCTGCGATTAGCGATGACGGTGGTCAGGCTAAGGAGACCCAGGAGATCAAGGAGAACTTGTGTTACTGTCCGAACGCGGCAAGGTTTGCGGTCCATGCAGACGATCATCGGCGGCGGGCCCGTGGTGGAAATGAGATGGGGCGGGCCTGCTTAGAAGGCTCGGAAGTCCTCAGCTTTCTCAGGAGTTTCCTATGCCTTCCCTGGAGACCGAACACCTCTCAGAGAAGCCCCGCCGTCTTCTGAAAAGGCCACTTCCTTCTCACTTCCCCTCCGGGCGCGCCGCCGAGATACACGCGTGGCGGAAGTTCAAGTGGAGGCCATTCAGAACCAGCTGCAGGAGTCAAGTCCAGTACATGTTCGCCAGTTCCCAATCCCGGCAAGGCTCGGGAGGGCCAAGGACCAAGGAGATTGTCGCCAAGCTACAGAATCATGTGGAGAAAATGTCCAAGGAAATCGAGGATGCCGAATCCGTTTTCGAAAAGAGGTTCAAGGAGGCCAGGGTCGCGCTGGAGGAATTCAGGAGGCAGGTCGACCAGCTGGAGCAGGAGGCCAGGGAGTCGTTCGTGAAATGTGTCGCTCAAGATGGAGGAGCAGCTCTTCGCGTCGGCCAGCGAGTCGTTCAGTCAGGAGCTGGTTCAAGCAGCGGAAAAGTATGGAGACAGGACAGTTGACCATCGACTCTATGCACCACGAGTCGATGGTCAACGCATTCTTGGCTAGAGGTATGCATTCTTCGGTGGTGGCGGCACTTTTACGGGAGGTCTCTGGCATGAAATGCAATATCACGTTGCCTGGTATGGATCCCTGCGACAGATTCGACCTGGAAAGGGGCGGGAAACAGGGCGGCGTCGATACCCCACAATGCTTCAACATCTTGCTGGAGGAGTCTTGCGGTGAAACGTTCCGGAGGTGGAGGGAGGCAGGCTTTGGTTTTCCTCTCGACGAGGGCGGCGACGAGCGCATCACCCATTTGATCTGGGCCGACAACATATTTTTGTTAGCATCCAGCGTTGAAGAGTTCACGATAATGACCCAAGAGCTGACGGAAGCGATCGGGAAGGTTCACTTTTCATGGAAGGCGTCTTCGCTAGAGTGCATGTTCTGCGGGCCCACGGCGACCGGCGTTTGTAATTCGCCTACTGTGATGGGGGCAGAGGCGCACTCCTTCAAGATCGTTGACTCTATGTCGGCTTTGGGGGTGCAGCTCAGCAGGGAGGGGGACACGAACACGTCCGTAGACCACCGCATCGGAAAAGGCGAGGGGAAGTTCTGGAGCAATGCCCATATATTCCGGGGCCCAGGGACTACTACATCGAAGCTTCGGGCCTGGTCAGGTGGCCCAGCTGCTAGCGTTGCATACGGATCGTCCACGTGGCATCTTACCCAGAACGTTCTGACGAAGGTTAAGAGGTGGGAGTTTAGCATGCTGCGCAAGGTGTTTGGCTTCCGGCGGAAACCAGGGGAAGGGCATGCGCAATACATGATGCGCACCGCTCGTATCATCGAGTCGAGCTTCGAGCAGACCAAAATCATACCGCTGCATTGTCGGGTGCTCCGGGAAGTCTTTAGAAATGCATGGCGCGAGAGATGCATGCCGCTACGTGGCGAGAGGAATTATTTGCACCTGGCGCGACAATTTCGCACTCGGGAGTGGTGGGAGACCGTGAGGATGATGGGCAGCGAGAGGAAAAGACGGAAGGAAGGCATTGTTCATTCTGGGATGGGGTACCGGATAGAATGGGAGGATATCTTCGTGAGCGTGTTCGGCATTGCATGGCGGGCTCGCCGAGACGAGTGCTCGCGTGAAGCTGAATGGATGGCTCTCTACCCGGCCTTCGAATCCCATTTATGCACTCTTTGGGGATTGTTCTGCAAGTCGTCTGGCAGATGCTCGGATCGCCAGGGCCAGGTCCACACCGCGCCAAAACGGAGGAGGATAGCCACGCGTCCTTTGGACGAGCTTCCGGCTGGACACGGCGATAGCGCACCGGACGTGCATTGGGACGGCATGGCCGGGCGAGTACTCTTCATCACCGATTGCAAGCCTCTCGCCGGAGTTGTCAATGGAACTACCGTGCTGGCAGCACCTTCTCTCGGACCGGTGTTTGATCGAATTGCCAAGAGCATGTTCAACGTAATGGGATGCGGATGGAGGCCAGCGCAGGATGCGGACGACATGGTTGTTTGGCACAAGCGCGATTGGAATATCAAAGCAGATTTCTTGGTGAACTACACAATGGATGAAAAGAAGTCGTGGTATCACAGCTTCCCGATTGAATCAGTAGATCTGAGCGGGGCCAATTTTCTGATCCACAGCGATGGCGGCACTCGAGCGGCATCGTGTTCTGCAGCCGCCTGGTGCGTAGAGGCTGTCACGCGCCGTGGTTTGATAGAAACCACGACTCTCTTCATCATTGCAGGGGCGTTTATCAGTGACCCAATTTCTTCCTTTACAGCCGAGGCGCTCGCCTTAGAGGAGGCCGCGAAAGCCGTGGAAGAGCTCATTTACAGGATACGCGAGCGGCCATCAGGATTCTGATCTAGGCCTAGGGAAAGAAAGAAAGAATTGGAGGTGTTCCGTGTCTTACCCCACGGCCTAGCACTGTCATCTGCACCGAAGGCTGCGCTTGCGCGTGTGGATGGTCAAGCGATTGCGGTGGATGAAGACGATGTGGATGACGTGGGCCTTGACGACGGCGATGGTACTATGAAACAAGAGAACCAGTCAAACATTGGCAGAGGCAGAGGCAGCTACCAGCAAGGAGAAGCCAAGAAAAGGAGCATTTGAGCAAACACGAGAAGTAAAGCGATTCCTCAAGGAGCAGCTCGCAATTTTGGGAAGGAAGAAGCATCAAATCTGGCAACGGTGGCTTCTGTACCTGGACCTGCGGAGAAGTGGATCACATTGTGCTGTTCCAGCTCGGCATGTGTGGTTTCTGGATTGCGGGATCGATGTTTCAGGGTTCAGACGTTTTCGGTGATGCTTGCGCTGACCACCCTGGTGGGATGTGCTCTGCGTCTCTTGCTGGATCGATGGAACGCACGAATGGTGTCGTGCTCCGACCTTTACCTGTGCTTCGTGCGTATGGGGTCTGTGCTAGCAACTCAGGGCCAGTGCCCAATAAGCTGAGCCATGGCTTATTGTCGCCACGTGCTGGATCTTTGATGGTCCGTGCTAGCACCTTCAAGTCAGTGCCTTGTGAGATGAGCTTGAGGTTGCTGTCGCCACTTGCTGGATCCATTGCGGTTAGTGCTCGCACCTTCGGGCCAGTGGCTACAGAGCTGGGTTTGAGGTCGCAGTCGCCACGCGCTGGAACGCAATGCGGTAGGGCTAGCACTCCAGGGCCAGTGCCTACTGAGCTGGGCCCTGGGTCAGTCGCCACATGCTGGATCGGATGGGGTAAGTGCTAACACCCTGCTGCAGGTGCCCACTGAATTGAGCAGCAGGTCAACTGGGGCGGGTACGATTGCAGGCGTGGATGTTTCAACGACTGGAGTCACTGCTGCGGCTACGGCGGCCTGAGCGCCGTGCCCGCGCACCAAGACTGAACATGGAAAACGCGGAGTGGGGGCTCTTCTCGTGCAGTGCAAACTGGTTGAGTTCCTGGGATACGCATGGTCCTGGAGTGGAGCATCGATCCTGGCCTTGATGGGCCCATGCCTCGCTCCGGTGCGCGGCAGAAAGTTAGAGTTGTAGGCCCCGGCGGCATTTCCAAGTACGTCGGGATACTCTGGGGAGAAGGGATCAGTGCTGGCTTCGGCCCACTGTGGTCAAGTTGTGGGCGGGGGGGGGGCGGCGCCCTGGCCAACTCAACTGGTGTGGTTGCTGGAGGCGCGGGGCGCGTCAACCTGGTTTTTACGATTCTGCATGCTGAGTTCGCTGAGGTGCCGCCTTCGACTGGCAGGGTCATGGCCAGACACATTCAAACTGCCGTGCCTAACGGGGTCATCTGGATACCAATCTATTTCCATCGCAGTGTTGGGGTCCGCGGGGCTAAAAGAGGACTTCTGGCTTGCTTGTGCAGATTCCAGGAGAGGCTCGCGGTGCCCTGGTTGGCGGCGGAGAGTAATGCAGGCAGTGGCCCGAAGTGCGACGGCCCGCGTGCGCGGTGCTCCCAACTGGCGGCGGTGGGTGTGGCTGGTGATGGGGCTGCATGCCCGGCTGGTTCAGACCGCAATCTGCAGTTTATGATTTTCTCGCGCGGTTTCAACACGCGCGTGGACAGCGTCGATGTGATGCTCGAGGCCCCCCGTGGGATAACTACCTTCGGGGCGGTGCAGAATCTGCGGGGAAATTCTATCATCCAGGGGGTCCAGATTCCCCTCTGGCAACGACGACGACGGCGACGACGGCGGTGACGACGACGACGGACGAAGATGACGACGACGACGACGGACGACGACGACGACGGACGACGGACGACGGACGACGGACGACGTACGACGGACGACGGACACGATGACGACGCACGCTGACGCAGACGCCGACGCCGACGCCGACGCCGACGCCGCCGCCGCCGACGACGACGACTTCGACGACGACGACGAACACGCCGACGACTAAGACGACGAAGACGACGACGACGACGCCGACGACGACGACGACGACGACGTGCAGAGTAGAGTAGACGACGACCGCGCCGACGACGACGGACGAAAGCGACGAAGACGACGACGACGAGCAGAGTACAGTAGGCGTAGAGTAGATTGTACTAGGAATAGAGTAGATTCGGGTCGTGTAGAGTTGGGTATGGATGAGAAGAGCAGACCAGAGAATTAGTAGAGTAGATCAGAACAAAGCAGAGTAGAGTACAGTCGAGTAGGAAGAGAGTATGATAGAAGAGAAACAACATATTTTATATCAGGTCCTGTCAGGCTACGGTAGGGTATGGTAGAGTAGGGTCGAGTAGAGCAGGGTAGAGCAGAGTAGGGTCGAGTAGACTGGTAGAAGACACTAGGGTCTTAGTAGGAACCTGCGAGAGCTGGAGCGATCCCTACTTGGATTTTGTCACAGCCGGCACCTGTTGCGTTCACCGGCGACAGGTGCGCAGCCGCCGCTGGTGTTGTCCCCGTCGTCGTCGTCGTCGTCGTCGTCGTCGTCGTCGTCGTCGTCGTAGGCGTCGTCGTTGTCGTCGTCGTCGTCGTCGTCGTCGTCGTCGTTTGGGGGGGCATTCGACCGCCCAGGTATTTTTTTCTCTTGTGTGTGTGTGTGTGTGTGCGTGTGCGTGTGCGTGTGCGTGTGCGCGCGCGCGCGTGTGTGTGTGTGTGTGTGTGTGTGTGTGTGTGTGCGTGGGGCGGTGGGGGGGTTCTCGACCCCCGAATAATTTTCTGGGTGGGGGGAGGCGGGTCTGGAACCCCCCAATGATTTTCAGGGGGGTTCTAGACCCCCTCGGTTCTTCCAAGGGGGAGGGGTCGGGGGGGGAGCCTGTTTTCCGACCGACCACATCGGAGAACTTCTTCATGCCAGTGACTGGATAGCGCTCCCTCTGTCCTCCCGATCGCCTTCCACCCTCCCGCGGCCCTCCCTCCGATTCCTCCCTCGTTCCCTTCCTCCTCTTCCGTGGTCCCTCCCTCCCTCACGTCCCCCCCTCCTTCCCACCTCTCCTCTTTCCTTCTCTCCTGCCCTTCCCTGTCCTCCATCACTTCTTCCCAGCAGTTGGGCAGGGGCAGGCGGTGAACCTGGCGATGAACCCATCGCAGCTGCAATGGCTTGCCTGGATCACAAGGCCTCCCGCCGATCGGACTCCAATCCTCCCGCTCTCCTCGCCGTCCCGCGCCTTCTCTTCCGCAGTTACTCAATATGAGCACGATGCTTCTCTCTCACCCGAAGATGACCAGGGAGTGGGCCGCCCCCCTTACGCGCAGTATTTCCACATAGGAGTTGCAACATGTTCTCGTTATTTATCATAAACCATGGTTTGAGACCTGGTCGTTTTGTTGTTGCTGTCGTCGTCGTCGTCGTCGTCGTCGTCGTCGTCGTTGAACTCTCATTCTTGAAGAATAATTATTGTTGATCCCCCCCCACCGGTGCACATTGATTTTTTTCGATTGAAGTGCCACCCCCGGGGCTCGCACCTTGTTTTTTCTCAAGGAAAGTCTTCCTGCTCATACTGTGCCCCTGCCCCCCGGGCTACAACAACAACGGCTCCCGCCTGAGACTTCCTCGATTTTTACTCAGGACCCCCGCTCCCGCCTGAGACTTCCGCGCAATTTACTCAGGAAAGGCGCTCCCGTCTGAGACTTCCTCGCAATGTAATCAAGACCCCCGCTCCCGCCTGAGACTTCCGTGCAATTTACGTGGGAACGGCGCTCCCGCCTGAGACTTCTTCGAATTTTACTCAGGACCCCCGCTCCTGCCTGACATTTCCGCGCAATTGACTCAGGAACGGCGCTCCCGCCTGAGACTTCCTCGCAATTTAGTGAGGACCCCCGCTCCCGCCTGAGACTTCCGTGCAATTTGCTCAGGAACGGCGCTCCCGCTTGAGACTTCCTCGCAACTTAGTCAGGGCCCCCGCTTCCGCTTGAGATTTCCTCACAATGTACTCAGGACTGCGCTCTCGCGTGCGACGTCCTCACAAATTATTCTGGAATTGCGTTTCGGCGCTCAGGAACCACGCGCGCGCCAAGGACGCCTTCACAACGTGGTATCTTCCCTCTTCCTTCGTCCTTCCCCCTCCCCTTCCTCCCACTCTCCCTCGTTCTTCCCCTCCTCCTCTTGCAGGGCCCGCGCCAATTCCAATGGCGGGCAGAGAGATGTACGCCCCCGAAGGATTGTCCGCCCGTTCCGGTTTGCCCGTACGTCTAAGCCCGCCGGCCCCAGCAAAGAGAAATAATCCCCCCGAAAGGGGTGTGATCGAAGACGAAGAGGGCGGGTATCGAGGGTGTAGGGTATACGTGTTGAATGACTCGCGGGCAAGTAAAAGCGTACAGCCTTAAAATGGTTGTTGTTGTTGTTGTTGTTGTCGTCGTCGTCGTCGTCGTCGTCGTCGTCGTCGTCGTCGTTGTTGTTGTTGTTGTTGTTGTTGTTGTTGTTGTTGTTGTTGTTGTTGTTGTTGAAGAATTCTCACTTCTGAAAAGTAATTATTGTTGATCCCCCCACCAGTGCATACTGTTTTTTCTCGATCAAAGTGTGCACCTCGACGCTCGCACCCTGTTTTTTGACAGGGAATGTCTTCCTGCTCAAACTGGGCCCCTGGCCCCCGGGTTACAACAACAACGGCTCCCGCTTGAGACTTCCTTACAATTTAGCCAGGACCCCCGCTCCCGCCCGAGAGTTCCTCGCATTTTATGCAGGAGTCGCGCTCTTGCTTGGGACTTCCTTACAATTTATTAAGGAATCGTTCTCCCAGCGCTTTGGAGTCGCGCTCTCGCTGGAGACTTGCTTGCAACTTACTGAAGAATGGCCGTGCTGGAGTTTCTTGCAATTTGCCCAAGCGCCGCGCTCCCGACACCCAGGCACCCAGGAGTCGCGCCCGTTCTGGCCCCATGTGCATGCCCTTCGTGCCCCCGCTGTCGCCACTTGTGTCCCCCTCAATGTCCTACGTGGCCCAATTGCTACCCTCAGTGGCCCCATAGTTGCCTTCTGTGGCCCCGCATTATCTGCACTTCGTGGCCCCCGCTCGTTCGCGCTCTTCGTGGCCCCATACGCATTCCCTTCGTGTCCCCGCTGTCGCCCTTCGTGGCCTACTTCGTGCCCTTCGTGGCCCTGCTGTCGTCCTCTCTCGCTCTCGTTTTCGCTCGTCGTCGCCGTCGTCGTCGCCGTCGTCGTCGTCGTCGCCGTCGTCTTCGACGTCCTCGTCGTCGTCGTCGTCGTCGTCGTCGTCGTCGTCGTGGTCGGTCCCTTGTCCGTCCCTCTTGGGGTCGGGTCGACAGTTCGCGGCCGCCCCGCCGATCAGCGCTGCCGCTGGCCAGGCCGACGGTCCGCGGCCGCCTCGCCACTTGCGGGGGCCCGGCCTGCAGGGAAGAAAGGTATACCCCCCAAAAGGGGTTCGATCGAAGACGAAGAGGGCGGGTATCGAGGGTTTGGGAAATACGCGTTATTGGACACTGGAGCATATAAGGGCGAGCAGTCTTAAGATGATTGTTGTTGTTGTTGTTGCTGTTGTTGTTGTTGTTGTTGTTGTTGTTGTTGTTGTTGTTGTTGTTGTTGTGGTCGTCGTCGTCGTCGTCGTCGTCGTCGTCGTTGTTGTTGTTGTTGTTGTTGTTGTTGTTGTTGTTGTTGTTGTTGTTGTTGTTGATGTTGTTGTGTGTGTGTGTGTTGATCCTGAAATGAGGCCCATGCTGATGCTGCAGCATGGGCCTCATTTCAGGATCGGCGCCTTGCTCCCGTCGTTTAGAAACGCGTTCTCGCCCCAGCGCAGGCCACTTATCTGGATCGGGACCCTTCCTCATTGTTGTCGCCCCCTTCCTTTCCCTTGCGCCGCCCTCCCCTGCTCGTCCGGCTCCTCCCGCTCCTTCGGCTCCGGCCCCTGTTGTTGCTGTTCGTCCTCGTCCTACTGCATCTTCCCTCCTTCTTCTCCTTTGGCTGATGATCCTCCTGCTCATCCGCCACCTCCTCCTCCTTTGACACACGCAGTTACCTTGATCCGATGGCGCATAACACGATGTGGTCGTTTTGGGTGGTCCTGGTCAGCTACAACACCCGATGGCGGAGAGAGAAAGACAGCGCGATGGGAGAAGATGGAAGGGAGGGGTATGATGCCAGATATGGCGCGCACGCACCTAGCTTTGTCCCTCGGTCCTCTCGTTGCTGCTGCTCCTGGTGCTGCTGCTGCTGCTGCTGCTGCTCCCTCGAGTTCAGTCCCAGTCCTGTCCTCCTTCCCTCTCCTCCATGCTGACCTAAGCACCATTCTGGGGTGCTGATGCGGTCCACGGAAACCAGGAAACAAGCAAGTGCATTAGATGCGCCTTCGCCAGTGTTGACCTGAAGTATGGTTTCTTGCATCCTCGACGTGCAGTCCATGGGGGGCAACCCATGTTGTACAGTCTATGTTGTGCAAGCCATGGGGTGCCACGCGCCCTGCAGAACTTGAAGTCGTCAGCTCAACTGCTCGCGCAATCGTTTCACCCTCTCACCAGCAACTGGTTTTGCAAAATTCATGCGGCCGAGATTGCGGTGACAACTTAGCACTGGCCGGCGCATGTTTGCGACCGCGCTCGCGCGCGCAAGCTCGCACGCAGAGCGGCCAGCTGGTTTGGCACAGCCGAGGCGGCCGCGATGGCACTTAGCGATGGGATCTCCCCAGCGTGTCTCAGAGACTGCGCTGGCGCGCAGGCACTTCAGTGCGGGTCGGAGACTCGGGCGGGCGCGATATCATGCTGACGACGACGACGTCGGCGACGATGATGATAGTCTGGTGGTGGCGATGTTGATGGTTACGACGTCAAGGCCAATTTCGGCGCCGATGTTGGTGACGACGATGCCGATGATGATGTCTATGTGTCGGTGACGGGGGTGATTGACTGATGATGGCGGCAATTGCGGCGATTGGCGATGACGATGGCGGCGGTGATGCGGCGGCGCTGATGAGGATGATGGTGAGGAATTGTGCGCGCGCGGTCATGCAATCCATACGGCAGACTTTTGTTTGAGCGGCATTTGCCGCGTTCGTTCTCAACTCTCTTGCGTTGGGTTTTCGGTTTGGATAGAGCGGCAAAATCTGCCAGGGCGGGTACCCTGCAACTTTTGTGCATGTTCAGTTTTTCGACTTAAGCTCGAGATTTGCAGCATTTGGAGCGGATTCGTGTGCACCAGTAGCCGCAGGAGCATCGGAGTCGATTCTGGAGGGTCGATCCGCCTCAAAGTGTTTTGTTACTCGAGCTATCAGCGATCTCCACCTTCTCCCGCCTCCTCCTCTCCTCCCTCTTTCCCCCCACGCCGCCTGCTCTCCTCGCCTCCCTTCTCCGCCCTCTCCTACCTTTTTACCTGTCTTGAGCCTGCCAGCCAGCTTGTCTCTTACCTCGCCTGCCTTTTACCCTCGCCATTTCGTGTCACCCGTCGCCATCCCTGGGGGGCTGCGAAATGTGAAACTGTAGCAACTTCGAGGGCTGATTAGAGGGGGTCCTGGGAGTTACACCTTACGCAGACTGAGATTCGACCTCGCCATCCCTTGGGAGCTGCGACCTGCGGAAATGTGGCCACTGTCAGGGGTTGCTGCTGGGGGGGTCCAGCGGAGTGACGCTTCACGCAGATTCAGATTAGACCTCGCCGTCCTTGGGAGGCTGCGACCTGCGACGCCTGTCGGCACTTGCGAGGGCTGCTGGGGGTCCAGCGGAGTGACGTCCTGCGCAGATCGAGCTTCGTCCTCGCCATCCCTGGGGGGCTGCGATCTGCGAGACTGTCGCGTCCTTCGAGGGCTGCTGGGGGGTCCAGCGGAGTGGCGCCTGGCGCAGGTTCAGAGTAGACCTCGCCATCCCTGGGTGGGGGGGCTGCGATCTGCGAAACTGTCGCGTCTTTCGAGGGCTGCTGGGGGGTCCAGCGGAGTGGCGCCTGGCGCAGGTTCAGAGTAGACCTCGCCATCCCTGGGTGGGTGGGCAGCGATCTTTGAAACTGTTGCCATTTTCGAGGGCTGCTGCTGGGGGTCCCGCCGAGTGACACCTGACGCAGATTCAGATTCGACCTCGTCATCGCTGGGGGGCTGCGATCTGCGAAACTGTCGCACTGTCGAGGGCTGCTGGGGTGGTCCAGCGGAGTGACGCCTTACGCAGATTGAGATTCGACCACACC